GTAGCCCCAGCTGGCCTGGAATTCCCTATGTAGACCAGGCTGGCCTTGAACTCTCAGAGATCCACCTGCCTCTGCCTCCCGAGTGCTGGGATTAAAGGCGTGCGCCACCACACTCGGCCTTTTACAAACACCATCTTAATGCATTCATCAGCAAAGACTTTCCTTAAAAATTGTGTAAAATAAAAACTTTCAGTAATTCCACAGCACATTTATTTGGTGATCACATGGATAGCAGGGCAGTCTTGGGAGGGACGTTTCCTTGCAACATGAGTAACAGCCTTGAGGCATTTCAGTAAATGCCATCTTGAGCCTTAGTACTTAGAAGGGAGGATAGCTGGTTAATGACTATTCCTGAAATGAGTCAGAAGGCAGAATGGTCTTAAAAACTGGCTGTGCTTGGGCACATACTATATTAGAAAGGAAAATGAATATGGCCTTCAAGGAGCACAGACAACAGTATGATGAGACCAAAGTGGGGCAATTTCCCTTTCTTAAGAGTATCCTTTCTGATGGTGTCTACTTGATGGTGTCTATGTCAGCATGCTTCCATGACAGTCATTGATTTTATGGGTGGGGTAGAATAATGGAGACTGCTGGTGAAGAATAAATCATCCTTCAAATGATTTGCAGGTAATTGGGAATTATTAGGCTAAGTTTTTGAAAAGATAATCTTTAGTGGGTTGCAAAGTGTTCTTTTGACCAGCAGCATAGATGTCACTGAGAGAAACTGTTACAGTTGAAAATTCTCAGGTCCCACTTTGTCAGGAATCCTGGGGGTCAGGCCAAGCAAGAATCTATGCAATAAGTCTTCCTGCTGATTCTGATGCCTTCATAAAATTACAATGTTTTCAATTTTTTTTTCTTTTTCAAATTATTATTAGTTTTGGGTCTTTGGAAAATGTAAAGCTATAAAAAGGTGACAGAGGCTCAGGCTGTTTAAATATATATTTCTAATGAGAATACGGTGCTTTAAAAATAATTCTGGGGCACTGGATATATGGCTTAGTAGATAGGAGCACTTGCTGCTCTCACAAAGGACTGGAGTTCTGTTCCCCGTACCCACAAAGAGCGGCTAACAACCACCTGTAACTCCGACTCTAGGGGCTCTGACACAATCTTCTGGCCTCTACTGGCACCTGCCTGCACATGGCATATACCCCTCACAAATAAAAATAAAATCGGTGTCAGTCTTATGTACAGTGAAATCTCTTCTTCCTGGATGAAGATTCTTCTTCTTTTTTTTTTTTTTTTTTTTGAGTCACAGTCACACTGTGTAGCCCTGGCTGGAACTGGCTATATAGATCAGGCTGGATTTTAACTTAGAGATCTTCTTGCCCCTGCTGATTAAAGGCATGTTCCACTATGCCCCGCCAGGATAAGGATTCTTGAACCCTCCACAGAGGGTCCACATACGTCTACAGAATTTTATCTGCTCTGAATTTGTGTGTCTTTAACTCATGTACATTATGTTTATTATTATGACAAAATGTAATCTTGACCAAAGAAAAGATTTAAAAAATATATCTGAAAAGAGATCAAAGGCTTTCACCAAAAGCTTTAAATAAGTTGTATTATATTGTATACATGTTGAAAACCTATTTTTCTGAAAAAAGTTTTCTATGGTGTCTTGCTAAGTTTTTTCAAGTTTTAAGAAACTGCCAAACTGTTATCCAATGTGATTGCATCTTCTTATGTGTGCAACAGCAATGAAAGTTCCAATTGCTACATCTCCAGCAACACTCAGTATAGTAGTTTGGTATAAGAGCTATTGTCTTAGGGGTACAGTAAGTATTGTCTTATGGGGACTTGAATTTGCATTCTCCAATGACTGATGGTGCTGAACATCTTTCCATATGCTCATTTTCCAGTTGTTTATCTGATCCAGTCATTCCATTTTTTATTTAAAATGAACACACACCTGCCCATATAAAGACATGGATTCTTACCGTGGACCAAATTGGTTCCTCAAAATTCCTGTGCTGAAGTCCTAATCCAATGATTGTATTTAGAGGTGGCATCTACAGGAGACAATTAAGGCTAAGTGAGATCATAAGGGTGATGTCCTGACACTAAAGGATTAGTGTCCTTATAATAGATACCAAATCACACACAAAAAGAGAGTTGTGGAAGCACACAGCAAGATGGATGGTGCCTCCAAGCCAGGAAGAGAGGCCTTATCAGAAATGGATCATGCTGACACAATGATCCTGGACTTAGAGCTTCCAGGAAAATAACTACTGTGTAAGCCACTTACTCTATGGTGTTTTGTTATGGCAGCCTGAACTGACTACAATGATCTGCTTAGAAGCAGCCAAACTGGAAAACACCCAAATGAATGGGAAAATAAATTGTTATATATGTATGTAATATATAATAGTGGAATACTAAGCAATAAAATTGAATGAACTATATATACAACATGAATAAATCTGAGAAAATTGTACTGAATGAAACAAAAGAGTTGGCACTGTGTGATCCCATTTATATAAACTTGAGAAAGTGTAGATAATGTGTAGTAATAGAAAGCAGATCTGCAGTTGCCTGGGAGGGGAGGGGTGATATGGTATGTGAGGGAGGGAGTACAAGCATGCCAGAGTAAAACTTTAGAAATGATGGACATTTATTTACCAGCTTAATTTTGGTGATAGTTTTATAAGTTGTACATATGTTAAAATAAGGTTACTTTAAATTTGTCAATTGTACTTAATAATGATGTGAAAAAATCTGTGGAATTTTCTTATCTTTAGGAAGCTCCAGTTTTGTACTAAACAGATTTAAATTTTTCTTATCTCTAACCCCTGATAAAGAGAAAAGAAAATGCCTCACTCAGCAAAGGCTAAGTTTGTATGGAATGTCCTGGCTTTATAACAGAACTCCACAACCTAGTCTTTTCATTACCAAACAAAAAACCCCAAATCAAAGGACTGCAGAACAGGTAGTAGCAAAAAAACTCCCGAGAAACAAAAGATTACACTTGAGCCTTTTATTGGATTATTGTGATAAAGAAGGAAAATTTGGAGGGCTGGAGAGATGGCTCAGTGGGTCAAAGCATTGACTGCTCTCGCAGAGGACCCAGGTTTGAGTCCCAGCACCCACATGGATGGCTGAACTGTCAACTCCAGTTCCACAGAATCTGGAGCCCTGTTCTGACTTCCCTGGGCACTGCAGGGCACGAGTGCATTCATATATATGCAGGCAATACACTCATACACATAAATAAAAAGTAAAATAGTTATTAAAAAGAAAGAAAATTCGTTAAGATATCTTCCAATCACATTTGGCAATTAAGACAGAAAAGCTGTCTTACAGAAAAACCTCCACAAGTGAGGTGATCAAATAAAACCCAGAGGTCTTAAGTTACAGGTAGTACTTTTATCATAAAATGCAACGTTGATGCAGAATTTGATTAGAATCTCAAAGCCTGCTTCAACTCCACAGAAACATTGGAAGATAAACTAGGGTTTTCTGGAAGTTTTGCTGACCCAATCGTTTAGGTGGGCAGGGAAAGATGAGGCTTCCTGGGGAAGGCCTTCCATGGCAGACCCCTATGTTGACAACTGCGTGGCTTTGTCTCACTGTTGCCAAACTGCTTGTGCTTATTTCTAATGTGCTGCAGATTCAAGATTTTTAAGTACTAGCTTCCTAGGTTTTGTGGTGTGTGTGTGTGTGTGTGTGTGTGTGTGTGTGTGTGTATGTGTGTGTGTGAGAGAGAGAGACAGAGAGAGACAGAGAGAGACGACAGAGAGAGACAGAGATGGAGATCTGTAGCCCCATCTGGCCTGGAACACAGTAGACTAGGCTAGCCGTGCTCTCACAGAGATCCCCCTGCCTCTGCCTCCGTTAGGATTAAATCTTTTGGGATTAAATGTGTGTGTCACAACATCCTTCCTGTTTCCTAGGTTTTAAGCAACTTTATTTTATTTGAGTTTTGACTATCCAAGCTACGAAGTGGTAGAAGGAATTCAAAACCGTCAAAGTTCTTTCTCCTAATATTCAACAGAGCAGAGTTTTCTGGGAGGCCTGTGGACCACCCTGCGGGGAATCCGCCCCTTATGCCTCCTCTGACTTCAATTCGCATTAATTCGCTGCTGCTTCCTAGCTAGAGAGCTCAGATTGCACCTGCTCCCAGAGCCAGCAGGGCACCGTGTCTTCCACAGCTCAGCTTCGGGTACTTGTGCACGACACGAGGACCCACCAGGGGTCACTGCAGTCTCAGAGCTTTTGTGCCCTCTAGTCTAGGGCCGCGGCCGGCCGCGCGGAGGGCGTGGGACTGGGACGGCGGAACGCAGGGGTCGGAGCAGAACTGTGCTTTGCCCTCCCGGAGCCAACCTCTCGGTCTCCCTGGGAGACGGACACAGCGACCTAGCGACGGCTCGGGCGCGGCGCGGTGCGGCGGTCTGGCGCGGACCTGCGGCACCTAGCCCTTCGGACCACCTCCGCTCCGCCCTCCGTCCCCGGTTGAGACCCCGCCCAGAAGGGGCGCTCCAGCTGCGGTCCCGGGGCTCAGGTCTCAGCGCCCTGCTTTTTGCAGACGCCCGAGCCGGGCGGGCTACACCTGGGTTGCTTCCGCCCAGGGCGCCACCCTTCGCGCGGCCAGAAGAACTTTCCCCGCAGCTTGGCAGCCTGGCGCCCCGGGCACTCCTCGGCCGCCCGCAGGTCCTCCGACGCCTGGCTCTTCTGAAGGTCCTCCCAAAGCAGCGCTCCGGGAGCCAGAGCTTGAACTTGGCCATCTTCGGGGGATGACTTCCAAGGTCTCCAGACGCAAGCCGCGACCCGCTGACCGGCCCTGACTGGCTTCGGTAAGGAGCCCTCCGCCCTGGTCCAGCCCCTCGGTGCCCTAGGTCGGGGGTGGGAGTCGCCGTGGGAGTGGCCGCCTTCGCCGCCGGCCCCGCGTCCCCGGCTGGGGGTCGTGGCTAGCCCGGACACAAAAGAGAAGCCGAGCGCTCCCCACTCCGCCGTGCCGGCGGGGCTGCGGGGCGGGGTCGTCGCGGGCAGTGCGCGCAGGCGGGCCGGGGGACTCTGGAGAGCGGAGCGGAGGCCGAGGAGTAGCTGGAGTGGCCGCGAGGGGCGGGAGCAGCGGCGTTCCGTGGGGCGCTTCGGAGTCCCGGGAGGGTCTGGAGCGCTCGTCCCGCCCTTTCTGTGTCTGTCGCCCCCACTCGCCAGGCGACTCCTGTCGTCCCCAGGTCGCCACTCCTGCTTTCAGAAGAGGAGCCGCAGGATGCGCGGGGACGCGCCGCCGCCCTCCGCGCCCAGTTCTGCCAGCGCTTCCCCTGCGGCTCCGCGCCGCTGACGCTCGGGGGAACGCGTTCCCGGGCCGGTCTGAGCTGCGAGCTGCTCCCGGCTCCCTCGGCTCGACCGCGGGACCCTAGACCCTGGACACCGAACCCGGATCCCCGGACCCCGATTCCCAGATCCAGACCCCCGGACCGGGACCCAGGTCTCCGATCTCGGGACCCAATCCGGATCCCTAGACCCCGCACCCGGGACACCGGCCCAGACCTGCTGCTCTCGCCCTAGCCCCGGCGCGGACAATAAATTAATGCTTCGCGCGTGAGGGGAGGAGGCGGCTCGGCTCCAGCTTTCTCGCCTGACTGGAGACGGTTACAGCAGACATGGGCTGTTTCTGCGCTGTTCCGGAAGAATTTTACTGCGAAGTTTTGCTCCTGGATGAGTCCAAGTTAACCCTCACCACCCAGCAGCAGGGCATCAAGGTAGGCACGGCCGGGGCGTGATGCTGGGGCCGCGAGGTGGGGGTCCGCGGCTTTGTCTGAAGGCTGTCAGCGGTCCAGGCCGGCCACGTCCCGCTCGGAGGGACAGACGGTGGACGTGCCAGGCTGGGCTAACTTGGAATAGCGTAGTAAAGTAAGTTTGATGTGGCGAAGGGCACTCGACGCCCCCACTCTCAGCTGCAATTCGAAATCTTGCAACGGAGACAAAACTCTGCCACTCCCGGGTTCCTGGACAGCATCTAGGCCCTCGCTGCTCTCCAAGAGGCGCTGAGTTGAATGGACAGTCTACATCCCACCCCGGGTCTCCTCCCCTTGGTGGAAGCCTCTCCCACCCATTTCTTTGATAGTGTTCTTTGGGGGTGAGGGGAGTAAACTAGTTCACTAGCTGAAACCCATTATTCAGGTAGCTGTGATTGTGTTCCCAGAGTTTGTGGTTGGGTAAAACTACGCTCGCTCCGCGGGCGAGCAGGTTTTATCTCCACATTTAAGTAAACATCTCGCAAAAGGAATTCGTAATAACTGCTCCTGTTTGTAGTCCTTAAAAAATGTATTGCTGTTGCAAACCTAGATCAACGCCGCGAGCCTGGGAGCTTGCAGAGACCCACTTCCTTAATTTTGGTGAGGACTTCTGTTTATACCTGACAACCTGAGGATGCGCCTGCGCGCTTGCTTCGCTCTGCCAACATTTTAACTACCGAAGAGCTCACAGTGTTGAGCATAGCATTGTTTCTTTCCCCTTCAGTTTTAAATGACTAAAGCATCTTAGATAAGGTTCTAGCGGAGTCTGGAGAAGGAAACACCCCCAATCCCTCCACCGACCCCCCAGAGCTGTCGGGTTGGCTGCCAAATACCCTCTCCTAGTCTTGTCATCTCAGAAGTTAATCCGGGTGAGGTACGCCCTGGGCATTTCCATGAGCGGGTCTGTTTTTCATATCTTTGTTCCCCCTAGAAACTTCCTGGCTAGACGCCTCTGCGTTGATGTTGCCACTTTTGGAGCAGGAATTCGAATTTCTCCTCTTTCTGGAGAAAGGGCAAAAGTGACCAATTAAAGCTACAACATTAAACCCTTTCCTTTAGGAAATCGTTTTAAATATTATTTCCTAGGAATTATAATAAGGAAAATTCAATCAGAGTCTCATCTTGTGGTGGTTTGTCCAAGGCAAATAAAACCGAATTGGGGGGGGCTTGCGTTTATTTTATATTAAAAAAATTTTTATGGACTCAGGCATGCCCTTTAACACTTTAAGAAATCAGGGGAAAAGAACTTACTGTATAATACGATGGAACAGTTTGTGCTGTATTATGTGAACAAAATAGGCCAAAAAAGAAAAAAGAAAAAAAAGGAGGGGGGAGCACAGGGCTTCATACAGATTCTGTGATGTGGCATTGGAGACGATCGGAAAAAGATAAGTGATGATCTGATACTAAGACAACAAAGAAATCTTTCTGAAGTGCAAAGTCTAAATGCATCTGGAGTAGTCATCTGCAGTGTGAGCTTCCTATTTAATCATGAAAGCTGGGCCCCTGTCAGCTGTGGACTGTGTACATTATCCTGTCAAGAGAGCAGCCAAGATGGGACCAAATGGAATAAATTTGTCAAAGAAACATGAATCAGAAATCCTGATCCATAGTTATTTTGAGTAGCTATCTGGTCCTTATCTTGTTTTACAGATAGGTTGAAAATTGGTGAGTGATTCAAAGGCAACAGCAACTTTGTAATACTGTTATTTTGGCTGTATGCCATGTGACTAAACAATATTTGAAGCAGGCTTTGTTGAAAGTAATGATTTCACAACAAGCTTGGTCTCTTTTGGTTTCACAAAAGCATGCTATGATTATCTTGATGTCCATGTGTGTAACCCAGATGTTGTCTGCTGGAGTTAACCACATTTTCTACAACCACTGTGCTTCCATAAAAATGCTTGTATTAAGATCTTTCCACCTGAGGTATTTGCCAAATTAAGCATTTGTGTATTTCTCAATGGTATAAAGTATGAAAGGCATCTCATGTGTAAATGATACTCAAACACTGAATGAATATGTGTGTTATTCTGTATAGAGTTGGCCTTTACAAAATGTTTCCTAAGCCTTCCTACATGATGGTATATAGGCACAATCACTGCATATTAATTAGAAAAAAATTAGCTTCAACTTTAATTTATAAATGAACAAGTGAACAGTTAACTTCAAAGTCAATAGTCAGTGGCCACTGTTATGGCATTTTCCTCCTGGGTAGTGTACCTGATGATTTTGGCTATCATTGATTATTGATATGTAAGGTCAAAAGTATTTCTGAGGTAGAAGAGATTTGTATACTTCTTTTCCAATATCTACATCTCCAGGTCTTAGAAATGTGGAAATTAGATGAAAAATATTCAGGAGTTCATGAATATCCAGGCAGAGACAAAAATTAAATCAGTCTTTCAGATAGTATGCCTGAAATTTAAAGTTTCAAAAGTAATTCTAATTGAATCCCATTATATCAGGGAATTCACCTCTTATAAGCACTGGAAGGAAAAATAAGAAAAAGGATTAATTCTAATGGAAAAATGGAAAACTTAGTCATCAATGGTGGGCAAAAATGGGTTTTCAACTTAGGTTACATCTTAGATCACTGAAAACACATTTTTACAGATATTTTAGATATATTTTCAGTACTTCCATAGCTTTGTAATATAATCATATATTGCTTGGAAATTCTGATTTTTAGCTGTTATTCTTGATGTAATTATGTTTTTCTTTTTGTATTTTTATTATACTAGCACAATGTTTTCTGAAAAATCAGATAAAAATAAAATTAAACAAACAGCATCAATTAACCCATTTTACTCAGAGATTAAAATGTAAAAATAATAATAAAAAATTATTTCTCAAAAGAACTTAAAAAATATTTTAGGGTCTGGAGAGATGGCTCAGGGGTTAAGAACACTGCTCTTGCAGTTCCCAGCACCCACATGGCAGCTAACAACTGCCCATAATTCCAGTTCCAGGGGATCCCTGTTCTGACTTCCATGGACACTGCACAACACGGGAATACCTGCCTACATGCAAGCAATATACTCATACCCATAAAATAAAAAATAATAAATTAAATAATAAAATAAAAATGGTTATAAGATAACTAAAGGCTAACATTAAATGTGTGTATGAATGTATTGCCTGCATATAGGTAGGTGCTCCTGCCTACCTACACACACACATATATTTTTCTTTTTGAGACAGGGAGGGTCTCACACTGTTGCTCAAGCTGGCTTTGAACTCATAACTATCTTTCAGCCTCACCATCCCAAGTGTTGAGATTACAGACCTGAGCTGCCACACCTAGGCTATGTCTGAATAGAAGGAACTTTATGGATTCTTAAGGGATTAGTTAAGAATTTTCTTGTAGGGGCTGGAGAGATGGCTCAGTGGTTAAGAGCACTGACTGCTCTTGCAGAGGACCAGGGTTCAATTCCCAGCACCCACATGGCTGTTATGAACCATCCTTAACTCCAGTTCCAGGGGAATCGGAAGCCCTCTTCTGACCTCTGCGGCATGGCATAACACGGGTGCACTCACATACATGCAGGTAATACACTCATACACATAAAATAAAAATAATAAATAAAATATTAAAAGAAAAGAATTTTCTTGTAAAAAGCTGAAAAACAAAAGGGCTAAACC